TAGGCAGAAAGCAGCATCACTGTGCCGGTCAATTGCAGGTCTCACCGTTCAAGAGGTCAATGGGCACAGGGCAATTCTTAGACGATTTCTGAGACAGGTGAACGTGCGAGCGAGTTGAAAAACTTCGGTTTTGTGTTCAGTCGGTGGACGCTATGCATTTTGTTTTATGGCTTTATTGAAAGGACCATGAAAAGTACTTTCTGCTGAACCATGCGAAGAGTAAAGTGTCAGATAACCTTTTGACCCTCAGAGAGGGTTAAACATGGATTTCGGTTTACTCTGTTAGACAAAGAATTTTGACTGCCGGTTGCTAGTAAATCTATACATGCGCTGGATGTATGCAGGCTACAATGTCAGCAGTGAAACATTTCAAAGCTAAATTTGGTTGAAGAAGGTTTTATCTCTTTAAATCGTATAATTTCTAATTGGCTATTCTGTACTAGTGTCAGCTGTGTAGGCATGTACGTATGCCAGCTGCCAGTGGTAGCTGTGTAGTTTTGCCGTGTGTGTTACTTATTTACAGGCACTGCACTCTCTTATTTTAAGCGCTGTAGGCTTCGCGTAGGTAAATGGACCGCAGTGCTTACCGTATTCTGCTTGCAAATAGTTGTTGCTATCGTTAACATGTGGGAGCTTCATCTTCTAATCAGCAAGACACTTTAAACGTACGCGCCATCTCGGGCAACTTCTAACCGATGCCAACAGAGACATTCTTTTGAGAAGGTTGCCTGATACCCGATCCCTGTGCCATTCCATGTTTCGGCTGTGTTAATGTGACACATTTGGACAACAGGGTTTACTAGAATCCGCCCACTTCCACACAGAGTCACCGCAGTAGACGTTAGATGAGCGCTTGTCGCTCACATCGGCACTTTTTAGAGTGCGCGTTGCGTGTGTGCGCGTGTGTTTTGTGTGTCAGCGCGTGTTGTTCGTGTGTATCGCGTGTGTGCGCGTGTGTAAGCGCGTGTGCGGCGCGTGTTTCATGTGTATGGGCATGTGTGTGGCGCATGTGGTCCTATGCGTGTGTGCGCGTGTGTATATCGTGTGTGTTGTGCGCAGCGTGTGCGTGCGCCGTGTATTAAATGCGCGGTGTGTGCCGCGCGCATGTGTGCACGCGCTGGTGAGCCAACCTGTGTCATCCACCCTACTATGATGTCTGTGGGCAATCCACCATGTGCAGAGAGGAGGAGTACGGGTGTGCGAGAGAATCAGACAAAACCGAGAGAAACGACGAGTGTGCAGAACGCAAAGGAGGGAAGCTGGACAGAAACGAAGAGTATTCCGCGTCGCGGAAAGCAAAAATTTGAGAGGCACCGAGTGACGGTGAGCTGGAGATAGGTGCAGGGAAAGAGAAAAGAGATGCGAGCAGACACAGAAGATACACAATAGGAGAAAAAAGACGATATCTAGGAGCACGCTCGAGAGAGCACAGACCGTCCCGTAAGGCAGCTGAATTCTGTCAGCTGTGAAAAATTATTAATTAATTGGATCCGGATGACACCAAAAATGTTAATCAAATTCGTAGTTACCCGATTTCTGACGTATCGCTGAAAATTTAATTAATATAATCTAATTGGATCCGTCGGTCACCCAACCAAAATGTATCTAATCTAAGTTACCTCGCAATTCTTGAGCCTACTCCTGAAAATACAGTTATTAATGTAATTAATTGGATCCGGAATCACCACCAAAGATCTCATCAATTCCAAGTTAAGCGGCGCCCATTTCTGACCTATCCTGAAAATTTATATGACAATGCCGTCCATAACTTTTCAGTTAGGCTGTACACAAACAACAACCTATAGATTGATAGATATATATTCGCTGAGTGCGAGCGTGCAGGTGGGGAGGACCCTGTGGTTGCCCCTTAGCCTTGTGGTTGTCGTGTTTGTAAGGCAGGGGCGTAAGCCAGGATTTTCAAAGTTGTATAGGCACGACTATCTGAGCGGAGCGCCATCATCGGTTGGCGCGGAGCGTACAAGAAAATTTTGGGTTTTACAACCCCCGCCAGATGCCGAAACGGCCCTTCCCGAGTGTTCATTCTGGTCCGCCTGCCTCTTGCTAACTTGAGACACCTCTATCTCTCATTCAATATCACTTTTAAACCGCAAAAAACACAAAGAGTTAAAATAGTGTTACGAACGAGTTAAAATGTAAAAAACTGACAAGATCGGATCCTAGTCTTTTTCGGCGGTAGAGTGTTGAATGAAACGGCACGCGATAGAAATGACAGCCTAGATGACAGAAGAATAGGTCACCTAATTTAGCCATATCTTGCTACGTTCATTTCAATAGTTTTTCCTGCCTAGATCTTAAACTCGTCCAGCAAGCTTATGGATTTGAATTATGGGTGTTTTAAAAAAAATAGATAACTTGGCCAAAAAAAAGTGTAGGCCCGGGCCTACAGTGCTACATACTGGCTACGCCCCTGGTAAGTCTACAGCCAGCGCACCTAGCGGAAGTGAACTGAAACGTGCATGTTCACAAACCCACAAACCAACACTCAAACACACGCCGGTGAAAACATAACCTCTGCCAAGCTCCTGGCGGAGGTAAATATACGTGCAGGATGGAAGCAATTCTCTCTGACGTTGATGGCAAAGGATGGAAGAAGCTTTGTCTGGTATGCTAGCTACACTATGTATACATGTGTGTATATATATCCTGTATATATGTGTATGTGCGTGCGTGCGTGTGTGCGTGTGTGTCACGCATCTAGACACTCACTCACTCACTTTAGGTAAAAAATATTTGACAGCTTCCAAAATTGCAAAAGCTATTATTTATTCTTGTTGTAGAGCACTATATCAGGGCGTATTGCGTATCGTGCGATCTGTCTGCACTGCCATATCCCACATTATGGTAGTATCTCCGATGTTGGTAACTGGTCTTGGAGTATGTTCATACCACTCACCAAGTTCACTGCAGATTGACCAGTGCAGATAGCTGGCTACCTTGTTATGGCGATTTAATTTTCAGCGTTATCTCAAGTAAACAAGGGTTAGTGTTAGGGTTAGGGTTAGGAACTGCCGGGCATTTAGGAAATCGAAGACCGTGCCCGGCTGCCGGGCATATAGCCACAGCGTAGAAATAATCATAGAAATCGCAGCCCAATAATAACCATGGAAAAACTTTTGCAGGTAATCAGCCGAAACTTTTTCACCCCGCGAGGCACAATTAAAATGCGAATTTACGTCTATAAGAAGGGGTACAGGGGGCGGGGTACGGGGGAGAAGGGGGGGGGCGGGGATATGGGATATCGAAAATGGCCAAAATATGTTGCAGCTCTTTTGAAGTATATTATTTTCCCGTATTCAGTATTCAGGAGGCATTCAGTATTCAGTACTTGAAATATATTTACGTGATCCTCATATGCTGGCATGAACCCAACTCTGTTGTAAATATTTTTGAAAATTGACAAAAAATTCCAGGTTAGGCCTATTCATTTTAATTTTAATATACCACTTTCTTCTGCATCCCGGAGGTGTAATACATAGCAATAAAAATTAAACCCGTAAAAATCACCCAAAAAGAACATTCCTGTCATTATTTTTAGCTTTCTTGCTAGCAATCGGGTTAAAAAGCATTTTCTCCTCCACACAATTCTAAATTTACTCTGCAAGTTTGCAAATCTAGAGATATGCCTTATATCGTTAGCCACGTAGACGTATATCCAATTTTTCACTTACCGCTCACATTGTAATGCTAGTTTAACACTTTTGTTTCATGTGTCATTTACAAAATATAACTGAAGCAATATTCAAACTAACAGCCAGTGAAATAGTTTAAAATTACACGCAATTAGAAATCATCGACGAGGATTGTAAAAACACCAAACAGGTTTAGACTGTAAGAGTAAATGGAGGAAACTATTTACTTAGTAAATAATATGGTGATATACTTGGTTATTTATTCACAATCGTATAGATAGGCTATGCACGATATACAGCCATAATACTGTACAGGTATCCAGCCAGCAAGTCGCCCAATTAAATGCATTACGAAGATATAAAGCTTTATAGAGATAACGCGAGTATACGCGCAGAGTAAGGAACAGCTCATAACTCTAATGCACTTTAATAATTTCATAAATTCTTCTCATCGAAAGAATTAGTTAGATTTAAAATTGTAACACGAAAACGAAGCCTTCTGCAGATAAAAAGAACATTGAAACGAAGAAAAAGAAAGAAGAAGAAAGGGAAGCAGAAGGAAAAAAAAGAAATTTGTCAACGAAAGTTTGCAATACATGCAACCGTTCATCTGCTGAAACTAACGCTGAAGCTTAACGCTCTATATGATTATTCCAGCCACATAGTCGATCGTCAGTTTGCAAGTCTTGGTGGCAACATAGTTGATTTCCTGCTAGTCACGCAAACCGCCACCAGCCGGCGTTCAAATTTATAATTGCCAAGCCAGTAATATCATATCCTGTAATATCAAGTAGAATAATCCTTTTCACTGTTCAAGTTGCAAAATGCAATTCCACATAGAGGCCTGGTAGAGTTCCTGGTAGAGTCCTGCTAGAGTTTACAAGGTTTCTGTTTCTGTAGTAGTACGTTGCAGTATCCAAAATTGGCATCGAGGCAACGGAATCGGGAGAGGGCTAATTATTTTAGAATTGATGTTGGCTGAGCTTAGATGTAAATTGCTCAGCACTGTCCGCAGTTACTATGTGGTCACCCAGGTGGTTCCACTGTATCACTGTGCGAACAAAGAAGGAATTCTTGTACTAGTCAGTTTTGGACGCTGGTACGTTGAATCCTTTAGAGTTCATACCGACGGATGGCACGTTCGTTGATGGGAGCACTGATGAACTCATCCTTGTTGCGTAGGGTAAGGTAAGGTGACATTACGCACGCCAGGCGTTTCACTTACAAAGGATCTGCCGCTACTTTTGCATTCTACTATACACAGAAACAATTACGTCCATGAAAACGATTACACCAGAAAACAGGACACTAAGGTCAGTAATATATCATCACCGAAAACGAAAACAAACGTCAAGGGCATATACAGTAGTGTTCTGTGCTTTATTAAACAGAATATATATTATATCTACGCTAAAACGCACTACCACAGGAATATAGCACAAGAAAGCTAATGCCGACCTAGCGGAGCGCGAGGCCTTCCATATGAGCTGCACTTGCGGCCACAGTTAGACCGCATTCAAATAAGTGTACACGTTATCTGCGGAAATTATAACGTGAGATACTTCAACACTCATTCAGTATAAAACATGTCTGTTCGTCAAATTTGATTCACAATGCTTTTTTATAATACATCAATGTACTGCTCTGAGCATTTGTGTGAGCACTGGAGACGAAGTGCGCTTCGAGGGTAAAGGCTGGAGAGGGGGAGAAGGGCGGAACTCGGCGAGCGTTGAGCTTGAATACCAGAGGGCGCAGTCGGAGCAGTACCGCTAGCGCCCCCTGTGCCCACAACATCTGTGAGATTCTAGCGTGCGTGGCTTACGGGGCAGTATATACAGATGAATGAACAGCATCTAAAATGTTTACGGATAACGACAAAAATATGACAACTCTGGCACAAGTACCCAATATACAGTATTAATCACATGGTGCTCACACAAACGCAGAGAGCCAAACTGTGTTGGTTAAAACAATGAAGTTGGTGGGGGAAAACGTTTAAAAGTGATCTGTTCAGGTATTTCGAACCACCCTCAAACCATGGCGCTTCGAACATGCACACTGGGCTCTTATACAACATCTTCTATGCTTTTGTGTGTGTGTGTGTGTGTGTGTGTGTGTGTGTGTGTGTGTGTGTGTGTGTGTGTGTGTGTGTGTGTGTGTGTGTGTGTGTGTGTGTGTGTGTGTGTGTGTGTGTGTGTGTGTGTGTGTGTGTGCGCGCGTGCGCGCGGTAGATTTTGTACATTTGTCAACGCTATTCACGCCATTTTTGTTCACGCTATTCGAGTAGCATCGAACGAGGGAGAGGCCACTCATTAATGCGGCATTATCTGTGATTCCAGCTGTAGTCATTAACCCAATGGTCTGTTTTGGTGCATACAACAGAGGTCTCCCCCACTACCCCACTAGATCGCGCCACGCGACCTCTTATTGCACGACAGATATAGAAACATAACACGTACTCACGGGAAAAGAAAGGTATTAACTACTGTCGATGATTATAGCTAACTCCAGGCATAACTAGTCAATAAATAATCAGTCCAAACATCAATTAATTTTCGATATAAGTATATATATATATATATATAATGATAGACCTTGAATAACAACTCAGCCTACTGGTGAATTGAGTACGTATCAAACAGAGAGACTGCACAATTGATTAGTTACGCCTGGCTAAATGCAAAGACAACGTAAACATCATAAATGTACATTTTACACTCTGTTCAGACACAAGACCATCCATTCATCCCCTTTATAAATGTGCAAGAATTAATAATATACGTCCGTGGCCGACTCACACGGACTATTCAGAAAACAGCTCTGTCGTATCTCAAAGCTAAAGCGCGTCCTACCGCCAGCTACATACATCGTAAGACTGAATTCATTTGAGTTAAATAACGCAACTGTCTTGGATTCTCCATTAAACTGAATTTTACACAGGTCGGCAAAACCCGTGTTGCGGTTCCGACCACCTAGACGCACCACTTGTACACTTTTTAAATACAGCCGTTTTAAGAGTTGCACGTAAACACGATTGGCTGATCTGACACTTCGAAATGGTACCACGCCATTGCATGCATCTGTGACTTCAAACACTCCCCGTTGCCATATTTCTCCTCTTCAAGACTTTCTCAGATGGCACGGTCTACAGAGTGCACAAATCATGAATCCACATACCATTTATTAGACACACTTTAACACAAACGGGTGGTAGAATGATTCCCTATAAAATTCGAAAAATACCATATTCCCATGATTGGTAACGTCAGGAGTATAAAATCAAGATTTCACAAGTAGAAAGTGCGCAAAACGAGGCGGATATCATATTCCATAATTCGTGATGGGAATTACGACGACGCCATGACAGAAATTGTGCGGTAACAGAGCTGCACGTGGATGTCCAGCTCTTAGAGTGCAGTTACGACTACAGTGCCGAGAGCACACCAATGAAGAATCTTCACATTCTGGCTTCACTCTCGAATGACGTCAGATTACAAAAATGTTTAGGGTGCAATTCATGGCCCTAGTCGAGAAGACATGTCCCACAATACTTCATGTCTACAATACAATACACAATGGGTCATGTCTTCTGGACTAGCACCCAATTCATTGGTCTGCTCCAGGTAGGTGTCAACAAATTCGTTTCAGTAGCAAGACTTGGAATTCTGGGCTCGAATGAAACAGATACTGTACATTGACCTTGTTCAAGAACGTGCACGCACGCGAATAGCGGTTGCACAGTCCAGCTTAAAACAGCTACCTAGCACACAAAGTAGTACAACAATAAATTAAAACAAAAAATAGATCTATATACCGTGTGATATCATTTCTGAGGTGTTCCATACACTGCACCAAGTTATTATAGAATATACCTTGGAAGTAATGTACAAAATAGTGATTTTTTTCGTTTCAAGTCGCCTAGCACGGCCAGTGCATCCCGTTCAGTGATTACATACGTGGCCCGACCAGCAGCAGCAGTAGCAGAAGCAGTAGCAGCAGCAGCAGCTATATACGACCAGTGCGTGCAGTAGGGAAAATATACAGGGAAAAGAGACAGACGCACAAGTATGACATCATCCGTCCTCAGGTGACGATTACAAATGTCTTAGTTGCGTGCGTGCACGCGGTCGCACGCGCACGGCTTAAGTAGTGCAAACGTGATCATAGAAACAAAAACAGCTAAGAGGTGGCAGGCACAACCTGATCGCATCCGCGTGGACCGCCGTACCGCCCTCGATCCTCCAGCAGCATGGCACGCTGAGCGGGGATGTGGCAGCAAACAAATATATATATAAATAATTCAAACTTTTTTTTTGTTATGAAAACTGACAACGGAAAATAGAACCCTTAAAATAGGATTCTATATAATAGGATCATTGTACACATTTCCACCGTATAAATATACACTGGACAATGGCTGTTTCTATGTTGACCACGGGAGGGGGGAATACAAAAGCATCGTACAATTCAGTTACGTAAACAGCGAAAACGCAAGCGCAAAGACGTAGGATGACCAGCAGTAATTTGTACAAGCATGCAATGAATAGCTGCTGGTCTGATCATTACCAAAGCAAAAGTGGACCACCACCCTGGTGGTTACAGCTTCTCAGCGCTGGGGCACCCGATTTAACACATCTGGCACAGTTGACCGCCCCCCTAATTAATACAACATAAAAATACAGATCCCGAGACGATGCACAACAAAACTGGGAGATGACACGAAACAACATTGGGTCGTCTCGTGATGAATATGCTCACAGATGGATACCTAAACAATTACACGTGTGGACGATCAACCCGCGGCAGCGGCCATCGCCGGCTGCAAGGTCAAGGAAAGGATCAACGGAAGCGATTGAAGCATGACCGACGCACGCCGACAGGCAAACATGACACCTTACAACGCCCCCTACACAGCCAACAGCTCTCACAGAGAGCTGGTACTACGGCAGTACGTGGGTGATGGCCGGTCACAATTCATTCCCAAAAGATGCCCCGTGACTGGTAAGACAGTACAGCGTGGGAGCGACGCGATTACCATCGTCGTGAACGTGATTTAATGCATTATAAGGTGCTTTCGGGGGGAAGGGGGGGCTTAGGAATAACTTCCATACTACTTTTACGAAATGAAAAACAAACAGGAGAGACTGCTGGTGAACAAGTCCAACGTTTGAGATCGCTTCAGAAAACTACGACAACCGATCCGGTATATTTTCTGTACACAGCGAGTTGCAAAGACGACTCATCGAAACCGCCCTGCTCACTCGCAAACTTTAACACACCTGCATATGCCGGCACACACACACGATGCCTGAATACAATGTACAACCAGTTGTGGTGAGAGCATAACACCTACCTGCCTGCCTGCCTAATTGTCTGCCTGCAACAGCTTCGGGAGGCAGACTGACGAGAGTTCAGCCTTGTATGGGAAATACAAGCCATTTCACTGTCAAAAACAGAGCTGAAAGAACACTCTGAATACGATGTCGTCATGCACAATTTTTCAATGTTAAAATAGTACATCAAAAAACCCCGCATTGTGTGTTGCTGTAACGAAATTGTTATGATACACTGTTTTGTACAAAAACATGACTGGTGCTGCAGCACACACTTGGAGCATGGCCCTGTGGGGTAGTGTGACATCAGCACTGCCACCTGGTGGGAGAACAATCACCTCCCATCGTATTGCAGCAGAAGTATATGGCTGTCTTTGTGTGAACTCTTCTTATTGCATAAATGAATACTCGGGATGGTCCGGTGGCCCGTCTTTTTCAAACCTTTTTGCTTCTTCCTGCATGCTCTCTTTTATTTTTAGTATGGCTTCAGATTCATTTTGCTGAAACAATAAAATTTCAGCAATGTTGTAAGCAACGACATTCAAGGTCGCGCAATGGTAACATCCCATTTGGCGTACTCTTAGAATCGGCAATATTCCCATTTTGGCTACTCCCATTATGCTACTGTATTTTCTACTTTTGCCAAGTTGTGTTCTCATTATTTGTACCTATATTTTCTTCTGGTTCCTGTAGTCTATGTATGCCAATCAAAACCATATTTTATTATTTATAAATGATTATTTAGTGAACAAACCGATCGTAGACGAAATGGGAATGGGGTAGATTTTGAGCGTAGACGAACTGGGAGTAGGCGAAATGGGTATAGGCCAACTGGGAATTTTGCTGTAGGCGAAATGGGAATTTTGCCATAGGCAAAATGAGAGTAGGCCAACAGGGAATAAACCTGTGCAATGTCCCAAAGTGACAAATTGCTAACCTCGCACTGTGAACGCAACGTGATGCCGCCCCGTGAACGCAATGTGATGCCACCTCTTTCACAATCTTTGCGCGTACACATCAGATTTCACAAAACTGCTACATCATATTTTACGTCTGAGCGAGATAACCCCGCCCATCTTAGACATTATTGCTTGGTCAGTTTACACCAATTCTTTACGCTTTCACACCGTGATGCATTTTGACTTCATGGCACTTTTGCATTTTGTTAAATTGACTATGTCACGAATTTTCTATGGTAAAATTTGTCAAATTTTTGTTGCCATTTTTTACATTAAAAGTAAGAACTAACATGACTAAACGTATCGTCAAATTCTTACCTGATAAGATTGTTTCTCAACTAGTTAAAAATCCAAAAATCCTGGACGATTTGATATTATGTTCCTGACATTAATTGCTTGCTATGAGCTATGTATAAGTCACTAGTGTATGTTCACATCAAACAATATAGTAAAATAGGAAGTATAATGCAGCAATTTAACCATAAAAAGTAAACAGAATTACTTATATTTTGTGAAAAAGTGGAAATGTTTTTTTTATTTTTACTATTTACGGTGACGTAATCACTTTAAGCAGTCTTTTTTTTAATGTCGTATCGCAACAGTGATTGGGTAGAGATGTCTGCTAACCACTGCAGGCTGGAAAATAAATTCTACTAGGCCTTGGCTGGCACGCCCTGAGGACTACCAGTCATCATGTCCAAACACGAGTGCTCACATGATTAGGTGGACCGTCTTGGTATCCCATGCCGTAGTCTCCCATGCCATCGTCACGTGGAGTGCCTGGCCCATTGGCTGGTGAATGCTTCATGCCGTCCATGCCGTCTCCTGCAAAATGAAGCCAAACTAAATGAAACGTACAAAATATAAATGACCCTAATACAAGCGTGGAACACAGTTTAGTCACCCACGAAACACCATAGTCTCAGACCCACCCCTACCACACTATGCACATCGACTGGGAGCTGCGCCCAACCCTCGTCATCCACAACCTAGTCAGGAAACCCCTACGAATATGCTCCGTCTATGACCCTATTCATGCCTGTAAAATAAAACTGAACGTGCTGCATCGAATTCTGCTACGTTTACTACGTTCAAAACGTCAGCTACAACCACGGTCATGGCATGTCTAGGTGGAAGCAGCATCCAGCTAGCGTCAGCTACAACCACGGTCATGGCATGTCTAGGTGGAAGCAGCATCCAGCTAGCGTCAGCTACAACCAAGAAGAGATATGATCTCTTCTTGGGCTAATTCTGTCTATTTATACGTTAAACGTCGATTACAAGTACTCTCGACACTATCCCCATAGAACATGTAATCTGTCAAGGGGTAGTGAGATAGAACGTGTGGTTTACCATTTCCACTGATCGTTGCGTTTACAACTGATATCAATGTGAGAGATGGCGATTATAATATAACCCAGGCAAATACCGTGGGGCACGTCTCAAGCAGACTGCAAGTGCTGAAGGAAGTACTGAAAGGAAAGACAAGTGGACCACAGCCATCTACGTTCACCTCCGGCATGGATTATTCTAATACTACACCACTTGCCAACCAGTGATCGTTTACTTGTGTTGTGTGGACATACACGTGGTTTGCATGCCAGTTGCCTATTGTAGAGTAGAGTGAATTACGCGTGATGAATTGGATGATAATTGTGGCTCACCATTCATGACTGGTATGTCACCAGGCCCTCCCATCTGCATCGGACCGTCAGGGCCAGCTCCCATCGGGAACTAGAGCAACAAACAGGCAACAATTACGATAAAAACATCACCACTCTGCAGCGTACCACATTGATCGCAATTTGACACTAATTTTATGCTGTTGACAATATAAATTATGACGTGCTGTCTGTCATTATCATCTCTGATGACTACAAAAACCACATTCGACTGTGCTGAAACATGGCGAGCACAAACTCCCATAATAATAATACATCTAGCACGGCACATAGACGATTCTAATTAATTAAAAACCATTACAAGATTAATACAGTGATGGATAGCTTTACATTAACACTCGACTCAAAGGTTAAAGCAGATTCGAGTGAATGCAAATACGTTCTAGAGGAATAAATTTAAACCGCATATCAGTGCAATCTTACAGCTATTTCTGATACGTGACTTATATTTACACGTGATCATTGAAAATTTTGGCCATTTTAGAACAGTTTTCTAACTTGAAAAGTAAATTTGATTTACAAGGAAGCCTTATACATAGTCTGACACATACAAGTTAGCCATGATTGAAACGATTCAATAATTACATGCATTGCATCTAAAAGTTTTATATGATTGTGGAATTTCATCACGCAGTGACACTAACCACTGTGTATAAACAAAAGGATAAACTACGCATACAGTAGCCATGGTTCGGCAACATCTACTTGCTTTGTTCCGGAGCAGTTCACATACTGCAATACGTTTCTGTGAGGCAAAATTAGTTTGCAATTTTCCATTTCATTTTGAATGACTATGCATGTCCTATTCGTAGGCTACAGCCAAGAGGGGGCTAGGCCACTTCACAGTGCTAGAATTCCAATCTCCCAAGTTGTTTTCCCCGTGGTGAAATTAGTGAATGTGTCTCTTTGAAGCAGAAGCGAGCCGATATACACGATTGTTTTTAACAGGTCCCAAACAGAATGCGTGTCGTTCCCATATCCTATTGCGACGGCTCTCCTTTCGATGCAACAGACGTTTAGTGAAATCAAAAAACTTTGTTTGTGATAATCACAAGGCTTTGATAGATAGATCATTTCAATAGAGCATGAGATCTACAGATTATACATACACTATGAATACGGGGAATGTACAAGTATATATGTAAACCACTGTGTACGTTTCATAAGCACTAATAGATGGTTTAAGAACTACAAGCTTTAATGGAAACTCCTAAATGAGTCCACAGTCATAGCACTAGTCTTCAACTGATTTATCTTAAAAGGTGGGGGGGGGGTTCCGGTTGACACCTGTGACATCACATCAGGAGTGTATCAAAAGGAGTAAGACAGACTAAAACCGGCAAAATTCAACATTTAGTTGCCTTAGTCTACCTATGATTTATTGTGTTTACCTCGATAAACTTGAGCTCAAGTCTTGCCTTAATCATTAAACTTTATCCGTGTCTAATCGTTGGTCTCACAAAAATGACAAATCGGGAGATATCGGTCCAAACGTACAATGTGGTTTTAGAAAGTTATACCATGAAATCAACAACTGTGAACCGAAACATAAGGGCAATGCTTTTGAAAGCCCTCTATCGCTTAGCAATGCAAACATAGCAAAGAACTAGCGAGGTTTGCTAGGGATTTCGGAAAGTTAAACACGCCTTGTTGTTATTATAGGCCATGTCGAATGACAGTAATTACATGTTATGAACAATATTGTTAAGAACAAATAAAATGGATAAAAATACTAAACATGTGAAATTTTTTATTTCTAATGTAAATAGTATCAATAACACCAAGTCGTGTTTAACTTTCCGAAATCCCTAGCAAACCTCGCTAGTTCTTTGCTATGTTTGCATTGCTAAGCGATAGAGGGCTTTCAAAAGCATTGCCCTTATGTTTCGGTTCACAGTTGTTGATTTCATGGTATAACTTTCTAAAACCACATTGTACGTTTGGACCGATATCTCCCGATTTGTCATTTTTGTGAGACCAACGATTAGACACGGATAAAGTTTAATGATTAAGGCAAGACTTGAGCTCAAGTTTATCGAGGTAAACACAATAAATCATAGGTAGACTAAGGCAACTAAATGTTGAATTTTGCCGGTTTTAGTCTGTCTTACTCCTTTTGATACACTCCTGATCACATGTGCTTAGTGGTTAGACGGGTTCCCTGTCATTTTTACACAGGAGAATAAACAAATCTAACAGCTGTGCCTGTTATAAGAGTGCACGCTATGATTAAAGGACTGGTTAGCTCAAACGACAGTGGGCTCAGCAGTTCTCGCAACTCCTTTTCAAGTAACACATAGTGAATGTCTTGTGTTATTCAAGTGCGTGATTAAACGTGTGATTTTTTAGACTAGACAGACAGATACTATAAATTTTCCACTACTACCCACCCCTGGCCTGTTTCCACCAGGCACTGGGTTCATCATAGCATACACATTATCTCCTGAATTTGTTGAATCTGAAACAGAAAAAAAACAGTCTTCGCTAAACGCCTAAAGATTTGAATTCTCGACAAACACAGCTAAAAACAAAATATGCACGCATATACAAACAGAACGAGAAATGCTATGGCTCCTTTAATAGTATGCAAAATGCACGTTTCTTAAGCCGAGCACTGCTAGAGAGGAACCACAGCCCTGAGCTATCACACAAAGACTGCTGTCATCGTAAATGCTATCGCCGAACATTGCTATACTCGCTCTACGACGAAAAATGCAATACAGAACAGCTTTCAAAGACATAACATAACTGCTCTGTCCCGCTCCCTTTCCACAACATACACTCTACGACGTGTACAACTACAGAGCAAACTTGAGCCTGACACTACGACGCCAGGCAAAGTATGATACAAGAATGTCTATATCTAGATACTCAGGAGACACAGATAAGACAGATACGATATTGTCAACATGACACATGCACACTACTCACACACAACTTTACACAAACGAACTACTTCCGTTTTTAGACACTGGCCTTTCGATACATGTGCCTCACCTTGTCATAAATTATTACAATTATTATTATTACATTTAACTTAGAATTGTGTGTCACCACGAACTGTTACAGATATACTAGGCCATTCTCTATCGTGTACACATACACATGTTTGAACAGGATCATTCCAAGGAAAAGTGTTGAACAACGCAATAACGTTGAAGTGTTAGCGAGAGCACAAATTCGTAAGCTCCATATGTTAGCTGTCCTACAGATGATTCCTATACATTAGCCGACAGTCCAGTGTGATATTAGCTTCACGTTGTTGGCACTTAATGCAACCATTGAAACAATGGTTTGACGTTTATTGTTATTGTATAATCGATTGTTTAGGAACTAAATGCCAAAATCCAGTTCAGAGATGAAATTTGCGAATAGCTTTCATTAGGCGCGTTCACACACAAGAAAAACCGCGATGCTAATCGCGATGAAATACCGAGATAATTGTGTCGTTGTTCACACAGGCGAATAATCGCGCTAATCGCCGAGCGGGATAATTCTATTAATCGAACTGCGCATGCTCACTGCCGGAATGATGCTCACTGCGCATGCTCACTGCTCACTCGCTTGAAATGATGGGATAGAAAATACCGGGATTATTTGCGCGAGCGTTCACACACGCAAATAATCGCGCTAATTCCAAAGCGAGCGTTCACACACGCAAATAATCGCGCTAATTCCAAATAATCGCAGTCAAAAGTGCGATTTGGAGCGCGATGCTGATCGCGATTATTAGTGAGTATTATTGCGTTCACACTTGTAATAATCTCGGTATTTCGATCGCGATGCAAAAACCGGGATTTGCATCCCGCTTATTCGCGCCAGTGTGAACGCGCCTATTGCTGAAATGAATCAGTTATCCAGTTGCAAAGGTGTAAAGTTACAAGAGGGCATTTTTAGATTAATATCTGTTACAAAACCTGGGTTTATAGGACTAGATGAGAATAGCTTCATGGAATTACTATGACAACAATCTTAACATTATCTTTATTCATATTCTTAAGTTAATCAATAAGTTCTTTTGATATCAAAACATACAAAATAATCATTGCTTAGATTAGGGGTAATATACGGATGCGTGAGCTCCTATTGTGTATTTGGATGAGAAGAATGGTTGAATCGAAATGGAAAGTTACAACAATGAGTGAAGCAGCAACTTCTATTAGTACCGTATGTGGTGACGATGAAATGAGGGTGTTATTCTTAGAACTGATGCTCTTCCCATGAAAGAATTTCCACTCAGCAAACCCAATTGTAAATCACCCTAGCCACAATACTTAACTGCAATTGACTGCAATAAAGAGCGAGCAGCTACACATGACCACGTAGCAAGTAGTTCTTCTAACTTAAAAAACACCATGTGCAACCGTTTCTGAAACATTGGTGTAGCTTGGAGAAATCCCTACATAACAGGAAGAACTTGAGCTGGCATTGTTCTACTACTCCCTATGCCTTGGCTAATATGTTAGTAAGTCATAATAGGACATGCGACTATAGTCTCGGATTAATTTTAAAATGTGAAAAGAAATGTTAATTCTGCTGTGCAATAATATGAGTAAACGCTGCAGGCCGGATGGCGCAGCTGAGAGCCGCCTGCATAGCACGGAGACACACGAATACTGGAGGCACTTCATGTACGAGAGAACTCTACCGTATTTTATGCTCTGCGCGTCGTTTCCCTCCCGAGAAGAGACGTAAAGGGCTGTGCACGTTTAACGAACCTCAACTATCCACCGTGTAGAGAGAATGACAATGGACCATGGTGCACCTCTATTACTTTACCCACCTTAGGCAAAACATTTACACTTAAGGTCTCAATTTCAGTCATTTCACTTTGCCCCCAATTTCGAGGACAAAAAGGGTAATATAGCCAATTTTCCAGGAAGTTCCATGACTATAGCCTATATCCCAGGACTTTCCCAACCTGGAGATGGCACAATTAAAATCCCAGGGCATTACAGATTTACTGCGTCCCGCACAATCCCGGACAAAACTAGACTGATTTAGCAGTGCACAGCGGCGCAAGATTAGTGCGAAGTGCCGCCCAGAATTCTACGCTCCTGTCTGCGCTCGTGCGTCAGCCATCATCACTACAGTGAAAAGATTTCACATCGACAAGCGGCAAAAAGAAGCTGAAATAAAAAAAGTGCAAGATCGTAAAAAGGCAGAAGTCAGCAGCCAGAGCAGCAGAATCCCACATAGTCACCTCGGCGGTTTCCGGGACCTGGCGTGGGCATTCGTGTGCTCGCCGGCGAATACGGGCCTGTAGAACCTGCAGAGCAACAGAATTCTTGTGACACTGATCGCGAGCTGGGGACCCCCCCACCACCAACCGTGCGTGGCACACACCGAAGAATGATGCCGAGCGGGGTACCGCAGCCCTTATGATGCTGGCCACACGCCGAGTGGCCTAATGACTAACCGCTCACCCGACGTAGCCCCATGGCACTGAAGCTCTCGACTGCTCCAGTGGGTATATCTTGTGCAGCTCCACATGTGGAAGTGGCACTAACAGGATTTTTTTAGGGGACGGGGGACAACAACATAAGTGTATTCGACACGAGTTATATAGTAGAGGTAAGGGGAGATCAGGGTCGGGGTTGAGGCGACACAGGGTTTTCTTACGACTAAACAGAGAGCGCTGCCCAGAGCAACAAAATGTGCACGACTTACACACGAGACACAAAAGCTATACATGTAACACATAGCTACGAAAACCGCACAGCAGGCAAAAGACACCTGCAGTCAACTTACAGACAACATAATTTGTGAATAACACACGCACACGTACATTTAATGAGCAAGAACACAGATATTTAGTGACAATGCAATCGTCGTACTACTGCCGCACAACTGAGCGCGCACACATTTCATTTTAAACCGGTCCTATCTGGTTTACTGTGATTACACCATAACACGAACCACTCGTAAACACGCTCATGTGGAGTGCATCTCTGCAATCAGCCTAGCATCATTGACACTGGTCTACAAAAAGAAGTTCCTTGTTCACACAATATAAATTGGCTCTCGCTCCCTCTCTCCTCCCCCTCTATCTATTTATCTCTCTATCTCTCTCTATCTATCTTTCTATCCATCCATCCATCGATACATCAATCCATCAACCCACTCATCCATCCATCCATCTATCTCTGTCTGTCTGTCTGTCTGTCTGTCTCTCTCTCTCTCTCTCCCTCGCTCTTACTCCTGTCGTTTCTCCCACTATCCCTCTCCTCTACCGCACTTCTCTATCCCACACTCTCTACTGAGGACTGGCAATCCAACCGACCATCCTCTCTCCGCATCACACACAAGGAAAGATGGAGGACAAACCTTGTGGGCTGGGCATGACAGGCGTACCAGGCGGACCTCCTTGTGGACCCTGCAACAGAGACAAGTGCTCGTCAAACAAACCGACAACGACCAACGCGACACGCGACATGCGACACTACGTACTCGCATCGCTTTAATTCGCGTGCGGGATGCGCGGTTAGTGAGTAAGTGGGAATGTAACACAGCCAATCTGCGCCAATCGTTGAGTCACAAGCTACGAAGGTAAATCCGATAGCGTATTGGAACTAGAAGCTTCCAACTGGTCACACCCATTCTTACAGATGTAGGGACGACACACCAGAAGCAGATCGTAACTGCAGAAGTGATGGCATAACGTTGGACATAGCAGCTAGGCCCCAGTCCAGGAGTGGCAACCTCCAAGACCTCATTTTTGTGGCTGTTACTATAGGTTGTATAGTAGAAATCCAAAATTTTGAATCCAGGAAAGGCTGGGTTATCAGATTAATTTTCAAGACGAGTGGATGGCGTCGAAAAAAAAGACCATGATCTAGTTGTTGTGTTCCTAGTTCTTCTACTTCATGTTAAACAGCTTAGCTCTGATGTTTTGATAAGGGGGTCTGGAATCCAATTGAATACAAGCAAAGAGGTTGATTCGGTATGCGAGAGTAGAAACAAACAACCACCACTGCAGTGGGGTGGGACGTTTTACTGTTGTTCATGCATTCACACCACTTCTAAGTTCTAGTTACGATCCATTTCTGATGACAAGTTTAGTTTCTGTTGAACTGTGCAAAAGGGAAAAATCTCTGGCACCCTACCAAGTTAAACAAAGGCAAACACCTTTAGCAGAGTATTATATACACACACGCACGCACGCTCGCACGCACGCACGCACACGTTGTAATTTCTAGAAGCAAGAACCCCTTCTGTTGTTGCAATGCAAGCCACACACTTGCAAAAACAAATGCTCTTTCGGCTAGTTACATTTATTTAAAAGAATGTGCTATTTTTATTAATAATACATTTGCACGTAATTAATAATGTGGGAAATAAAAAGAGAAGCAGCTTCCAATGGATACTCTTTAAACTCATCACTGCACAAGAGAATGAAGAGGACCAAGAGAGTAGAGTCAACAGAAGGATCACAGGTGTGAGCAGGCAGACGGAGACTAACTAACCTTCTACATCCTAATAGCCAAAAACCATTGAGTAATAAAAAGAAACCCAAGGACGTGTTAAAAGTAGCAGATCGTTAGGAAAAAAACACCATCAGCTGAGATGAAAGAACCGCCATGTCAGGAGATGTTTAGCCAAATCGAGCTCCAGAAACACGCGCGCGCACGCACGCACGCACACACACACACACACATCTATACACACATTCACAGATACGCACATAACTCGGGTTTACCATCAATATCTGCTATCACTGATCCGGGAAAGGTTGAAACTTTTGCCATGGGAATTTGGGACAGTAGAGACAAGACAGTGTTTACTCATAACGCACGACACAGGCAGGCGAAAACATGGTTGAGTGACAGCATTAAAATTACATAGACAGGGATATATGCAATGTATGCACGAGCTATATATATATATATATATATATATATATATATATATATATATATATATATATATATGCAGAAAATGGCATCTGATCAATTGGCAAGCACACGTGGAACCTATAGAAATCTACGCGACATTTTCAACATACACGAAGACATGTACAACACAGGAACTTCACAAAACGTATACATTCTAAAGGAACAGATCCGAGCACACATTCACATACGTGTGATGACAGGTAGTAGATCGCAATACGAAAATCCACCACCCCTACGCAGGCACGCACGCACGCACGCAGAATTCCGTAGAACACAAGTAGAGAAGATGAATGATGCGCAGCAGTAATATGTGCGAAATAAAGAGCTGGTTCGCAGCAGTGGACACTTACAGAATAGTTGCCTGGCGATGACGACGAGTAACCCTATTCAATAGGCAGAGAAAGAAATATATCACCACTTTGATATGCCATCATCTGCATGGGCTTATAAAATAATAACTGCCAGCTTCTACTTGCTAATGCTCGGTAATTCAGCTAAGCGTTCTTGCTGAAACAGGAACGTGCATGCAGGTTTTGCATCATTTGCTGATTGCTCGAGTGGCGTTCCATCGAAAATTGATCATTTTCTTAACAAGACCAATCTCGCTCGCTTTAGCACATGCACACGATGGCCGCCACCACTACCGAATTCAACAGGAGTTTAATGGAGTGCTTTGCTCATGTTCAAACTAACGCAATCGAAAGCAACAAATATTGGGAACTGAATGCAAAAGAAACGGTTGCAATAAGGTAGTAAAACTTAATGAACATTGCATCAAACGTCCAAATTAATAACCGAAGGCCTTGTTCCCATGTGTGCAGCAAGCACCAAGATGGTCAACATGCTCTCATCATCTCCAATTCGAGAAATCGTGGATTTCCAAAACACATGATACAAAAATGCGGACAAATAAATAATGAATACGTCGTGGGCAGGATTGTGAATATATGACAAGTGTTAGACACAGGGAACTATGGCTCGAATAGAGCAACACTGCCAGCAGGAGGAGGAGGAGGAGAGGTAGAGGAGGGGGAGGAGGTGGAGGAGGAGGTGGAGGAGGAGGGAGGAGGAGGGAGGAGGAGGAGAAGGTGGAAGAGGTGGAGGGGTAGGAGGAGGTGGAGGAGGTGGAGGGGTAGGAGGAGGAGGAGGTGAAGGAGCCAACGGGAAAGGCTGCACACGTGATGGCAGGGAACCTACCGATGACGTGTTTGGTGCCCATCCTCTTGGTCCGCCTGGACCAGGCCCTGGCCCTGCCCTGCAAAATAGAGAGATTCGGTCGTTAGACTATGAGACAGTAAAAAACTAACGGTGCTAATAGGTTAATGGCATGGATTTATTATCAAATAAATACCCGTTGATACGAGATATAGAGACAGTGATTTTCCGTTTCAAAAAATTCCGTTTCAAAGTAAAAAAAAAAATGGAAATTCCGTTTTGCCATAGAGATTGTACACACCAAAAATGCAAAATTCCGTTTACATATACAGTAAAAACCCGCGTATAAG